AGCGTGTGTGCGGTTGTGCTGGTGTAAAATGAAAAATTCGAAGCAGTAAAATAATGAGGTGAAAAATTGGCAATCCAACAGTTTCGCATCTGGCAAAAATTGACTAAAGTGATAATCCAACAAAATAGTGGTCGCAACGGAGTTTTCATGCCCTTTTTTCGCCATTTTTCACACCGTGTATGCTTAAGTCATGCAATTAAACGAAATGCACGCCACTTGTTTTGCAAACGAAAACAATGCGACGGAAGAGCAAACGGCAGAGGAAAAAAATCCAAAACTTGAGTAATCCAATTTAAAAGAGCATTTTACTTTGAATGCCACCCTATTGTTTTATATTGTCGATTGGGATTCAATGTAGTCAACGGAATATTGAATGATTTTCTCGGCGAGTTTTCTCTCTCTCTCTCTCTCTCTCTCTCTCTCTTTCGGTTCTTCTACTTTGTCTCGGTGTGTGGCGGAACATTCAGATTCACTTGACCTTCGTCTCTTGATAGAGTGAATGAGTGAAATTCACGATTCCCAAAACACTTATCCTATCAAGTTTCAGTTAAGTGCCGCTACCGTTGTCATTCTTTCAATTGTATGGAAATGTTGGTGAATGGACTCTTGGGAAACCTGACCATATTTGCTGTTCGTTTTATTGTTGTGCAAGAAAGAAGAAAAAAAGAAGAAAAGGAGAAATGGAAACGATTTCGCAATTGACCAACAATCCGAACATTCGGAAACGGTGTGACCGCTTTCCTTCTTTCTCGCCAAGCAAAAGCCAAGCAGCAGTAGCACAAATCTAATAAAGCCGAACGGTTATCGCATTGTATACAAAAAGAGCCAAAGCCATGAAATGGCTTAGGACAAACGGAAAAGGATAAAATCGAGGTGCACGCCAGACATTTATGACATAAATTCGGTCGTAAAATATAGAAAACCGTGATTTTCGCATTGTGAACTATTTGAATTCCACGCACATTATCTGCTCGGGCAATTTCTCTCTATGTGTATGTATGTGTGCCGCTTCAATCGACCTGTACTTACATTTTATTGTTTTCATTCACCCTCAAACTGTGAAACGAGCAAAAGTGAATGCGTTGTCCATTTCCGTGCAGCACCAATGCCGTTTCGTTATTTTTCATTTTCGACCGCATCAGCAAAAATGTCATCATATCAGTTGGAAATTGATGATCACTCAAACAAGAGAGAATGAACGACTGAGTGAGTGCGAGTAAGAGGAGCTTCATAATCAGTTTACGGTGAGTCGAATCAAAAATTTCACTTTATCCATTGTGTGTGCGCGCCTTTTGTTCCTTTGTCAAAAATTGCGACTGGTTGCCGGCACCAACTGACACATATCATACGCGTACACGGTGAGCGATAAAGCGGCATGGAGCGAGAGAGAGATAGAGAGCGGGAGAGGGAAGAAAAATTGAATGCGACGACCGATTTGTTGTAACCGACGAGAATTTTTCATCGTGTTGATTTACCTGTCGTTGACAACATGCTCACATCTTTTGTGTGTAATCGAATAGATAGAATTTATGGAAGAGGAAGCCAGCGGTGAAGGAAAAGAGAACAGAAAAAATAATATTATTATTGTATAACGCATTCGTGCAAATGATGAAACAAGACGAAACGAAAAGGAAAATCATGTTATTGGCTGCCATGTCAATTCGACGCATTCAGGCAGAATGATGATAAGGGTGTTACAGTAATGGTTTTCCCTTCATATTCTCTCTATTTCTCACACTTTCTCGGTGTGTTCGTGTGCATTTCTCAAGTAAAATGACGTGAGGTGCGCGCCAGTTAGCCGGTAATGTTGCCTCTTCCTTGAAACCACACGTACAGACACACTCACATTAGGTCCTGCCGTCGAATACACATGAAACGATTTCATTGCCATTACACCGACAGCAAAAACGAACGACGAAAAAGACACTCGCAGACACTGTGACAACAACAACAACAACAACAACAAGAGAAGTGAAGGAAAAAAGAACGAGCGGTACCGCTTAAATGAAATTATCTCTCTCCCGATATTTGGTTAAAGTTCATTTTTGACATGAAACAGAATTGCTGCTGGAACGCATTGTAGCACTTACGATGGGACAATACCATCATGATGATGTCATTTAACGACCTAAAGGTGTTTTTGTATTTAAATGAAAACTGAACGAAGACGAACGAAGAAAAAAAACAACAACCACACCGAACCTGCCAACTCGGAAATGCCACGGCAAAAGAAGAAGAAAAGAAATAGAAACCCGAAGGAGCGCAGACGACAAAAGTTTTCACATTATTTTAATGGCAAATAATAAAATGAAATGGAAAATGGTGCAAACGGCATTACATGATGGCTACAATCGCATGCGGCTAAGTACACACACATTTTTCGCAGATCTTCCATCTTCAATGCGCGCTTGCATAATAATCTTTTTAATACACGTACAATATCATTTGGCTTTTTTTATCGCAAAACCATTTTTCTACGACGCATTTCAATGCCTCTGGAAAAAAAAATTGTGTTTTCATATTCCGTTAATCAGATTTAAGCAACGGTGCACACAACACAATGGATCGCGTCCAGTGTTATCACATCAGTGTTCATCATCACCGTCACCACCCACGAATTCGTCTGAACTTTTTAATGGGTAAACGTGTGCCATTTCGAACAATGGCTATAGAAGGAAGCACTTTAGACTTTTACCTTTGTGATTCACAATGATGAGCCATGTTCAACAAGGAGAAGTGCGAATCATATTGTATTCATTTTTGAATGGATTATCTAGAGCTATTGATGTGGCTTAATTACTCTTTAATTTACTCAAAACCCATAAAATGTTATCAATGCTGAGCTTATTGTCAAATGAAACCAGCCAAAATTGTGAAACTGAAAGGAAAAAGACAATTTTTGCCCACATAAGCGTTGCTTCTAAACACTGTCTTTGAAGTAGATCACTTCATATGTTTTTCTGTTTAGAAAATGGGCATGTCAAAAGCTTCAGAAAAAAATATCACGCGACGAACTAGATAAATTAAGCTGACGAGCGAGCGAGCGCGCTGGTATGTATGTCCAGTGAATTCAAAGTGTCTCTCTCACATCAAACACACACGGCAATAAATTATATCAAAAATTACTAAATCAATCACAATTATGCAGAATGGTTATTAATTGTATATAACGCGACCCGAAACACTTTTGCGTGTTTTGCACGCGAAATGCGTGTGTTCATTTTACGTTGGCAAACGATGACCAACGAAAGATATGCAGTTGTGTTAGGCGTCGTCATCATCGTTTGTTTGCTTGGCGCGGTTGAGAGGCAGCCACTGACACACCGATAGAGAGATCGGGGAGAGAGACGGGGATACCGAGGGAGAGAAAGTCAAGTGATACGATTGCTTTTGCAAATAAATTTATGCAACTGATAGCAGTTTAGTTGCCACTATTTCACTATTATGATGGATGGTTAAATGCGCGAAAGCTTCGCCGAATATTCGTGCTGGAAATTTTGAATTATTTATTATTGACGCTTGACGCTTCGTTGGCATTATTGTCAACCTAAGCTCAAGTGTGCAGAATGCGTTGGAATGTGCGCCCGCTCTCACGTTATGTGTATGCAAGTCATTTAGATTTTGCCGAGCCTAACTGAATTTAAGTGATCGGCTGCAATTTTACATTCATTATAAAATCAATGTGCTTCACTCTTTTAGCGTTTGCCCTTGTCTCCTTTGCGTTTTGTGCGTGTATGTGCTTGAGCATTTACCGTGCAATGGAA